TACTCTCTTTATAGAGCTGTCTCTCTTTTCACAAGTAGGTCACATATAGAGAATAATTTTAAACAATCCCATTACACTGTATGCCTGTTAAAATATTTAGAGCTATAAATTTGTCTCTTTGGCGTGATTGCATTACAGAAACCTGCAGATGATGATACAAAAGCCGCAGAGGAGACAGGAGAGGAAAAGGAGGAGGCTGCTGATAAGAACACGACAGAAGAAGAAGCTTCAGTCAGCAAAGAAGAACATGAGGAAAACCAGGATATAAATGGTGAAAATGGCGGTAAAAAAGAGGTAGAAGCATCTCCGGGACTGGAGGAGAAGGAGGTAGAAGAAGAAATAAAAAAGGAGGTTACAGATGAGGAAAAGGAAGAGGTGAAGGGCGAGGTGCAGAGGTCCAGAAGTAACAGTGATAAGACTCAGGATAGTGAAGAGGAAAAGGATATAAACCATAGATCTTCTGAAGGTGAAAAGGATGAGCAAGACACAAATGTAGACGAAGAGAAGCAAGATAAAGAGAGTGGAAAGGGGGAGAAGAGCAGAAAGGACCAAGTTAATGATGTAGACACGGGGGAGGAAGAGAAGGAGACCGAAAACAGCAGTGACCCGGGGAAGACCCGGTCAGATAACGATACAATAGAGAACGATAAGAGAAGGAGCAGCAGTAGCAACAGTAGCCAGGACCAAGACAATGCAAGCAGAACCAAAAGGGGGGGAACCAAAGATACAGGAGAAGAAGAGAGGAAGGTGAATGGAGGGGTCAGTGAGGATGATGAGGAGAAAAGTGAAGCAGAGCTGGACTTTGAGGAGAAAGATACAGCCATACGCGAAGATGCCTCGGCAAACGGAAGGAAAGAGGAGGACGATGGTGAAGAGAATGAGGGCAAAGGGAAGGATCAGGAAGGAAAAAAAGAAACAGCAACTTAAGGGTTAAGTTGTGATGAAGCAATACTTTGCAATACATATCAAATCGAATGAGGATGGCAGAGCTAATTCCCAGAAAGCAGAGCATGAATGATGAAGACATATTTCACTTAATGGCCTTGTAAAAAAACTGCAATCTTAAAGACGCAGTGTCCAAATATGAACAAGTTAGAAGCTTTGAACATCTGTTTGCTTATTGATGCACAGAAATATTATCTTGATTTCAGGTATGTATTCTTTAACTATTTATCAAAACATTATATACAACTATCATGTGTGAAACAGATAGAACAAGTAAAGTTTGTAGTTGTTTAACAGACAAAAAGAAGAGAAAGGTGTAGCAATCTATTCATTAAGTTCTACTTTTGACTCTTGGGCGACAATAATAAATTGTCTGTCTGCACTGTAATGAATGATGCTTGAAGAGGGAAATGCAGTGATGCAAACTAAATATTTATATTTTACAGGTATGGTGATGCTAGCTGTGACTTGTTAAATGTGTTTTTCTATATATGGTATATTTGTTTATGTCCCAAAGTGTAATTAGATATGTGAAATATTTAAGCGTACAGCAAGTGTCTGAATGTTCATCTAGATTGTTTGATAATGAATGTAGTTTATAAGTCTCCTATGTAAGCTTTACCTAATTATAATACTTTATCATTTAGCCATTATAGCATATCTGTGTATTTATGTCTTCATTCTGACAGAGAATTGAAGAGAAAATCAAAGTTAGGCTCTTATTAAAACATGCTTGAATATAACAGATTTTGCGTTGACTCTTTATCCTTGTCACTTCACCTGGTTGTTATTCAAAATAGAATATCAAAAATATATCAATATTTAAAGTGTGGTAATGTGTTTTATAGTTTTATAGCAGTGTTTACTATACAATGAAAAATATTACTTCAATTGGACAAGGTTTTCTAATAGTTGCTTATCTATGACATTCTAATCCCTATACTGCTGTGAGGACAGTTTAAATGCCTCTTCTTTGTTAAAGACGTTTGAATTACAAAACGTTTCACAACATCTTAAACAATTCAATGCAATGATAATTGTTATTATATTACACTATTTCCTTCCTCTCAGTCTACATTAAAGAAACTAGCAAACATGAAGTTCACAATAAAATATAAAGTGCATGGTGTGTAACATTTTGTAGAATTGTAATACAATGCCATGCTATGCTATGCTATGATGTGCTTTGATGTGTAAGGTTGTGCTATGCCATGATAACATTTTATTTTCTTATTTTAATTTCTGCTTTGCTATGCTATGCTACCCTATGCTACGCTAAGATAAACTAGGTTATGCTATGCTATGCTATGCTTTTTATATTCTGTGCAATGCTATGCAATGCTTAGCTATCCTACGCTGTAATTTAGAACTTGATATGCTTTGCTATGCTTAGCTATGCTACCCTATGCCATGCTAAATCAGTTACAGTATGTTGTGTTAGTTATGGTATGTTATGCAATGCTATCTTATGAAATGCCAAGTTATGATTTAGTTTTTTGTGTTTTTATTGCTGAGATACTTTTTTTGTAGGCCTACTAGTTACTAGTTTACTGCATAACATTAAAGAGCCCATATTCTGCCCTTTTTGGGGTTTGTATATTTAATCTATGTATCTACTTTTGTACGTTCACAATAGCTAAAGTTTGAAAAAAGTGTCTGTTTTCATGTACTGCTCCTCCTTGTTCCCTCTACGCTCTGAGTCCGTCAGCTACACTCTGCTGAGCCCACACTGTTAGACCCCACGTGGGCCAAGTCTGCTCTGATTGGTCTGCCGATCTGCTCTGTCGTTATTGGTCAGTTGCTCAGCACGCTTCTCGGAAATTTCAACATGAGCTGCAGGGCTTGCCACAACAAGCCAATGGGCTTAGATCAGTGATCACACACTGAAAATGACGCCGCACTGACAAATTTTTATAGAGGGGGGCTAGAACCGAGCGTTGCATGCAGCTAATGCTGCAGCTAACAGGAGGAGGTAGGAGAAGCCGCGTTTCCGCGGACTTTGAATTTTTGTATATAGAGTAACATTTAGATGTGCCTAAACATGCACAGGACACTTGGAAAACACACTAAAGTGCATATAAAACCAGAAAAAGCATAATATAGGACCTTTAAGTATTTAGTATTTATATTGCTGGAAAAAAAATGTTTTACAAAAAAATCTGCAAACAAAAAAATGTGTAACAACTGTAAAACACATGTAGCGTTGAAGGTGCAATGTTTATCTTCTAATCTTTTTTATAAGGAACTAGAATGTAGAAATAGTTAAAGAAAGCTGACTTATACTGACTTGTACTGACTTATAGTCAGAGGAGCTGCTTGTGAACAGACAAGACAAGCAACTGCTTGGGGCCCCTGGCCACTTAGGGGCCCCTGAGGGCTGAATACTTGAATACCACAGCAGTGACTCAAAATGTGCAAATTTTGCAAGACCAATGAAACCTCCCTGATTGGGGCCCCATCTGACAGCACTCACTCTCATTGCCCTGCTTTAAAAGTACGTTTGTCAATGAAAACACTGAAGGAAAATGAAGAGGAATTATTTGTTTATGAGTAAAAAAAGAAAGAGGGAGAGCATCAGGACACTGGTGGTTGTAGGGGCCGACAATTCGTTTTTTGCCTAGGGCCCAAACAGACTCTAGGATCGCCACTGCTCTTAGGTACCACAGTAAATGTGTTTTTACCTACATGTATTGTCGATGTTGCCTTGTAAGGAGTTTGCCTAACCAGTAGACTTTGTCAGCATTGTGATAATGTCAATGTTTCCGTACAATCTGATATTTAAAGCTCAAGGCAAGAGCCTGTTAGTAAACAGATGATGTCAGAGATGAGAAGAAAGATAACAACATGACAACATGATGAGCAAGACCATAGCTGTAGGTGTTTTCAGACATTTGTTGAATTGTGTGCAGGAGAATTATGTGTGCAGAAAAAATAAACTTACAGTTATATCTTATATACAATCATTTGCGTATTAATCATGTCTTAGAACCAAGGTGCAAACATATTAGCATGTAGTGCTTTTGTGTCTTTCTTGGGTAGAACTATAGGTGGGACAAGATCAAGAATATGATACACAGCATGTTGCTCTTTCTTCCCATGTAACAAGGATTCATAAAGTCACTATGAAATTGCCTCCCACAAACAGGAAGCTATAGTGTGAACTGTGATCTGATTCAGTGTCTGTGATGTCTTCACCTCCCTCTTCTCCCTGCATCTGCTCAAATTGGGATTCATGCCGTCAACGTATTGGTGAGTCACCATCCCTGGGGAGGGGGTGGGGGGGAATGGGTGAGAGAGAGAGAGAAAGAGAAAGGGTGATATAGAAGAGAGGGAGGAGGCCGCAGGGGAGGGTGTGTGTGAGTGAGTCATATACAGCCTGACTGGTCGGGGTGATGATCCTTAAGGTGCTATTTCTGGAGCTACCATCAATTCTGTCTTATCTCCTCCAGTGGTTCCTTTTAGTGTGTGTGTGTGTGTGTGTGTGTGTGTGTGTGTGTGTGTGTGTGTGTGTGTGTGTGTGTGTGTGTGTGTGTGTGTGTGTGTGTGTGTGTGTGTGTGTGTTAATAAGGTTCTGAATAGCCAGCACTTCCCTTACCTGAATGGCTCTCCTGATTGATTACATTAACAGCTTCCACACAGAGTAATGAAGGCTCATCCTAATGCTCCACCATTGACAGTTTTGAGTGTTTTATAAAAAGAAAACCAAATACTCCTCTGTTTGTCCTCATTGTAGTTAAGGGGATGTACTCGACCTATCTTTCAGAACAAAAAAAAAATCCTTAAACGTAAATCGAATGTGTAACTCATTGGTTTCTCAGGCACTATAAGGATAAAAAATGTCAGTGGTTTTGCACACTTCAAATATGTGATTTCACAATGAAAACAAGGTTGAAAGCAGTGCAGAAGTACAAGAATAACATTTTACACAACAAAGAAGTACACTAAGGTATGAACTATAACTGTTCTTTAAGGTAACATGTGAATACACAAAGTTTTTTTTCTTCTTTTAATTAGCAGTTAGTTGATTTAGAAGACAAATGCAATTGTCACAAACGTTAAGCTGCAGATACTTTTATTGTGTTCTTTGAAAAATAGACATACTGTATATATAGACATTGATATATATATATATATATATTTTCTTTTCCAATCTGACCTGGATTATCAGTACAGTCACTTTTTCATTTAACGGTAGAATCCACTGTTACATCAGGACATTTAAACTAGGGACCCATTTTTCTTTGATGGTCAGATTAAAAGCAAAAAGCAAAAACAAAAGAGTCTTTCTGAATATGAAATTTTGATACAGAACTCAACTTTGGTCAATGTGAGGAGAGAAAGAATTGCACAAATCACAGCATGAAGAACTACAGGTCAGCACATTTAATCGACCCCTTAATAACACCCCGGTCACACTGGAGATTGGCTTTTCATGTTTACGGTTGGTTTGCAGCTTAACAGTAATACAAATGTTTTAATTTTTATTGTTCATAATGTGCCGTTCTTCATAGTTAGAGCTACATGTTTCTGTTGTATTTGAGACCAAATGCGTGAAAATGACATCACTGAATCATTCAAAGTAAAAGTAGAGCTACAAAAAAAAGTGGAGGTTGTTAGAATAATAGTGAAAGGTCAACTAACATGAACATTGTAACCCAGCATAGCATTCATTGATTTATTCAGTAAGTATATGGTGTTGATGTGGTGTGGATTTAAAGAGGAGATATTGATAAGAAGGGTTCTGCAACATAAATGCAGCAATGTGTGTAGGTTGATTGCACTTGTACAGTGAGTACGACAATAACATTTTATAACCAAGAAAATGTTGTTGCTCTCGATGGATTAAAAGGCAAAGAATAAAACAAACAAAAAACAACCACAAGCATGATTTAAAGTTGCATGGTTACAATAATAAAAACTATATTTAAAATATTCAAAATAATACAACATGAGATGATAAATAGCAGCGGAACATGACCGTATAGCAGCCAGTTGTGCACGTAAGTCAAAGTGTTCAAAATGTATAAAAACCTTCCTTGTTCAACATCTGTTTTACACAAGTGAATATGAAACCAGCAAATCAAAACGTTTCAGCCTTGTTCACATATGCTTTGTAGTTTCAAGTTTTTGTAAGAGCACAGGAAGGCAGTTATTATATTTAAAGCGCCTGGAGATCCAGACAGATTGAAAACAATGAGTTCCACGCTGTCAAACACGATGGAGCTGATGTGATCTCACAGGAGAGCTGGTCATGCTCCCCTCACACCCCCTCTTATGTAACATCTCTGTCACGTTGCTGCCTCTCTTGATGCTCCCTTTGCACCATTTCCCCACGCAGCACCTGTACTCGTGACAACTAGCTGAGATCATTTTTTGATGTGAAGTATTGCAACAATGCTTGGACGGATAGATGTGTGTCTACAGGCTGGTGTTTGTTATAGATAGAGAAGCGAGGGTAATCACGTGTTTCAGAAAAACAAGAGAATTAAAAACAAGAATCCATCATTAACGTCTTATTTGTATCATCTAGAAGGTAATCCCTGGATAAAGTGACAGACAATGTTGTTCTGCATGCTCTGTCTGGTTCGATGTAACTCCCATCCGTCTGTGCCGTCTCTTCTATCGATCCTGTCTGAAAACTCACTGAAGGTCAGAGGCCTAATACGGCAGAAGAAAATGTCAGCGTGAAATCTACCCTTTAAATTCTCTCCTAATCTTTTCAGGTAATCTGTAGACTTCAAGCAAAGTTTCTTCTAAGCCTCTTCTTTTCTTGGCGTGTAAAAAATAATTAAAAAGAAATATAAATCACTACATGGATTGTTATTGTGCGGTTTTGATTGACAGCTCTCACTGTGGTGATTTTCTGTGTACACAGGATACACAATGAGTATTCAGTCCATAGAGACTGAATCTGATCTTCTACACAGAGATAATGGTTGATGTGTTCATGGCTCGTTTTTGATCATTTCTGTGAATGGAGCCAATCAGCAATTACTTCAAATGGTACATCTGCTGCTCTACAACCCCCCCCGGCCCCCTAGCTGCTGTTGTATATTTATTTCTGTCTGTGGCATGTTTTCTGGGCATTTAGCTCAGAACCTGCATTGTTAAACTAAAAATTGAATTTCATACTAGTGATGTTCAAGCGAAGGAGATAAACTTTGCTCAGCTCGATCAACTCTGCGCTTATATAACCTTAAGAATCGAGCTGTAATGTCAAACAAAGCAAATAAAGATGAAGAGCCACTCCTATCAGTCATGTGAGTTGACCTTTCAAAATGAGAGAAATGCACACGGATCAACTTCCACACACACACTTGTTTCACACTCACACACCAGTTTGCACTCCAGTCAATCTTCACACATACACACACACACACACACACATTTCTTCACTGTACGACTTCATGTGGTCTTCTGTCAGGTCTCTGACTTTGTGGTTGTTGGCTGGATGTTCTGCACTTTTGAAAGTGTGACTGGAACTTTTCCCTCGCCGGGTGTTGGCGCCCTCATTATGGGGGTACCTGGGACAAAAGCAGTGTCATTATAGGGAATGTTCATTCAAAAACAGTAAGAAATCTGTCTGTTCTTTTTGTCTGTCTCTATTTAGAGCCTGGAGTTTCTATCAGTGTGTGTCGTAAAAAAAAAAAAAAAGTCAGTTAAGATCGAGAGCTTACCGACTGTTGCGTGCAGATCGGCCAACCTCTCCTTAAATTTCTGCTGCAGATACAGCTCTTCTTTGGAGTAACTTTTAGCAAAGGCAGACAGCAGGAGACCCATTGCCATGGAGGTGCCTCCCACACAGAACAGCACGGCGCCGGTCAGCTTGCAAACATCCAGTGCACGGTTGAAACTGACCGCATGGCTGTTGAAGAAAAATTTAAGTTTTCAATTGATATAAGCATTAGCATTAATAACCTTAGATATTAAATCTGGCCCACAAAGTCAACAGTTCTTAAATACAATTAGGTATACACATAATTATGTATGTCATTTTAACGTACGTACATATTTGTGCTCCAGTGAAATGGTTTACAATAATGTGGTAGGGGGAAAAAAATTACATTTAAATAAGCTGTATAAAATATAAGAGAGACTAAGCCTTTATGTCTTTAGACTCATCCTTTTATTTTCTTATCAAGATTTATCCTTTAATCTTCTTTATGACTTCATTTAATGATCAGGCTATTTAATCATCAGTAATCATTTTAGATCTGATTCCAGCTCTTCTGTATCATTTTTGGTGTTCTGTGTGTTGCTGTGTTTTGTGTTTTCAACGTACAGGTTTCTCCAGATCTTTTCTAGTACTGTACATTAAGTTGAATACAATGCCATTGCGTCCCTCACATGTATAAACTGATCTCACCTGTCAACAAATAGGAGATCATCCTCGCCAAATGCTTCGATCCTGGTTGGAGTGCCGTAACCCACCAACACAACAATGAGGCCCACTACTAAGATCAGAGTGCCGAACACGAGACAGACCTGCAGGAGGATAATTATAGCACAGTATTAAGTCAGATCAATTATTTCAGAATGACTACTATCTAAATGACATCCAGATATCAGCAGGTCAGATGTTGTTCTATTTGATCAGGACGAATGTTAACCTCACCTTCCAGAGTAAAGAGCTCCACCTACTCGGTGATCTCTGAATCTGAAAATCTTCATCGCGTTCCCAGATGGAAGCTGTGCATTCCTCGTAAAACTAGTTTGGAGATCAGAGACATATCATGCATTAAAAATGGAAAGTAAAACCTACAAGAAATCAAAAAGTCAACAGGAAAAAACATTATCAGATGATAACAAAACGACACTGTGAAGATAAAGTGTTCTGTGATTGGAAAGGTTCATGACTTCCAGAAGCCTTTCTTGTTTATGTCCTTGTTTGTGTAACCTTTGTGAGTGTGTTGTACCTGGTGAAGGTAGGAGCGGACTCCATACTGCTGGCAGTTCCCGCTGGCTTGAGCTTGCTCACCGTAGTCCGACCCACAGATCTCTGAGCAGGAAGTCATCCTTCACATCTGTCTACCTGTGTGAGTGCACAAATACAATTATGTATGCATGAATGCATGACCAGTCAGTTGTTGTGAGAAACCACCTACACACTTGCCGTACACTTTCATACATTCATATGCACGAACATGTACCCTCACACACAGAGCTAGGGAGTTATGTAATATCACACCGAAGGCATGGTTGCCTCAGTACATTGAGATTAATGATGCATACTCTCTCTGTCTGCCGTTATTAAATAAACTGTGAAATATTATATCTGTCCTCCTCCTTGGATTCACTTTTATATCAGCTGCATACTCGAAGTGCTGACATATATATTTTCCCCATTTTGCATGTAAAAATCACAACATCAGATTTGTTTCCTTTTGCCTTGCATCAAAATAAAGCAGAATATTTGCAGTATGTTGTTTGATATAAATAAAAGACACACTGTGTAAAAAAAGGTTTGCAAATGCTATATAATTTTCAAAATGTAAATCAAGTTTTGATTTGTTGAATCTGTAGAAATAAACGTTGTCCTTAAAAAATAAATGTTTTTAAGGATCAGTAACATTCTATAGAAAGTATTTATCAAAAAGAAATGTGACTTTACATAAAACGAAAATGAAAATAAGGCTCATTGGGTGAATGTAACAAGCTGCTCTGTAATAGCTGTGCACACATTGTACGTTATATCATGTGTTTTATATTACTTTAGTGTTGCTATAAAAGATACCCTTGCGTAATAAGAACGAATAACATTAAAAGAATAGGAAACATTTGTTCCAGGAAATAACATTTTTTTCACACATTATCAATCCTCTAAGTTTCCTTTTGAGATCCAGAAAACATTTCACAGCTCAGTGCCTCTGTACAAACACACTCACACCAAATCCCAACTGCTGCGTCTGAAGCACAACAACAGTAACATACTGGGGACATAAGTGGGAACAAAATGTTGATTGTCGTGTTAGAAATGTTCTTTGTAAAATCCAAAAGAGTAAGTAATTGAATAATAATCTGTAACACAAATATATAAAGTCAAAGTTCATACACAGCGACATATGCTGTCATGACATGTATCATAAAAATGGACCAATAAACTTCCCTTTACGAAGAAGCAGTGTTGGTTACTAGCGTGACTCATCACATTTAATATCCAGCACAACTGCCAAATGAATGGCTTTACTTTAACAGGGTAAGGCACTTAATTAGGTATTAAACAAAAAAAAAAACATGATCATGTCTTGGTAATTTCTGCTTTTCTATTGTTGACAGCTGTCACGACACATTCAGCTGTTTCTTCTAATGCTATTGTCAAATTAAGTTTGTATAACCCCAAATCACAAGTCACAAGTCACCTGTGGAGGAGGATAAATTACATGTGACACCCTCTATCCTTTGACCTTTGACTAAGGGTGGATCTCTGTCATTGAACTGATCAAATGTCAACACTAGGATAAGGGTTTTAAGAATGTAAATCTTTTCATAAGATCATTTAAAAAACGGCAGGACAACGCTTTCCTGTTTCCTTTCTGATCTTCATCCACTGAGTTTGTTATCTGGCTATCCTTATAGTTGTTCAGTTTATATGTTGTTCTCCATAAACAAATAACGGAGACGGAGAAGGTCATGTTCCTAAAAAATTAACTTAACACAGTGTACTGGAAATATCAGCGTTTCAGTCCGATAAGATGACATGAATTTGATGGGTGAAATGCAGCATTCAGAAGAGACACACAGTTCCTCATGTTAATCATATTACAGCTTAATTTCTTCCTGCTGAGGAGTCTCATGAACATCTGCCTCTGCCCAGATGTTATTAAGTCTGTCTGTATCCAAATCTGCATCTTATTCAAGAAAGCTTCAATAAAAAAAGAGAAAGAGAGACCCTTGATTATAATCCACAACTACTCTTCAAGATAGAGAGGTTCCATTGAGGCCTATTTGCAATTTTAAACTGAACTTGAATAATTGTTGCTTTTCAAAAAGGGGCAATTATTTCCCTAAATGTGTTATTTCATTATGAAATGAATCATTTTAATATATGTGTATTTGCCTCATAAGAGTTGTCCTTGTCCTTGTGTGGTCTATTGAAACATCAACACATACAGAAACAGACACACATGTAAATGGCCATAGATATATATTAAAAAAAACTCCCTACATTTTATGTCTGACATAGGCCTTTGTAATTTAAACTAATACCATTGAAATAAATACAAAATGAAAAAGAGGGGTCAAATCAGCTTGTAGATGTACACACTGACACTTAAAAGGTCAGAGACATCCCCATTCAAATGCATCTTCTGGCATTTCTTTCCTTTTTTTTCATACTAGAGAAATAAAACTAAATCTTCCAAGATGTCGATCTATCAACACATAAATCACACACGGTTAAAAAAAATGAAATCAGAATCTCTATCACTATCAAATTAAAGTTAGGATGAGCTGTGTTAAGGTTGCCCCCTAACATGTCCTTTCAGAGCCGATAGCTGTCCATGGTGCTGAGCGCCATTATTACATCTAGCCCTCAGCCCCAGCAGGAAAACACACAGACGTAATGTGTGACGCCAGTCTGATAACAGACCTCATCCATCCGTCCTCCCAACCCCCCATGAGACTCACATAGACACACAGAACGCTTTATTTTCATCGTAGAAATGCAGGCTTTACATGACAACATTTCGTTTTTATCAGGTAATTTGACGTCCCACCCACCTTGAAATGTTATTCTCTAAATCTATAAAATACTCCCGTATGTACAAGCTGAAGGTGAAAGTTATGTCTCATTGGATTAAGATACCAACGCCCTGGATGCTTATCATTAACACTGAAGCGGAATAAATTAGGAACAAGGCTGCATCACAAAGTTTGAGCTAACATTTTCTTTCGACATTTCATCCCTGCATAAACGCTAATTCCAGATGTGCAAGATGATATCGCGTGCAAAGATGACCCCGTTGAAGGAACATAAGCAGAGTATACGATTTCCCGATTTGTTTTGCACAAAAACAAACAACCCATCTTTCCTCGGAGCTTCAATAGTAGCAGAATTATTCGCAAATGTGATTAAAATCGTCATTTACCTGTCATTACCAGCTCGGAGAGTGATCACTCGCTGCTGTTCCCTCAGCCGGGTCCCATCACTCTACGGTCACCTCTCTCTCTCTCTCTCTCTCTCTCCCTCTCTCTCTCTCCCGCTCTCGCTCTCCCTGTCTCTCTCTCTCTCTCTCTCTCTCTCTCTCTCTCCTCTCTCTCTCTCCCGCTCTCGCTCTCCCTGTCTCTCTCTCTCTCTCTCTCTCTCTCCCTCTCTCGCTCTCCCTGTCTCTCTCTCTCTCTCTCTCTTTCCCTCCATCGAGGATTCAGATTTTCGAACGTCCTACTGCGCAGGCGTAACTTCCATAACAATATAGTATGATTCAGTGGCGAATGTAAGGATTGGAGGGGTATCTGAAGACATCCATTCAAGACTCTAAAGTCATGTTTACATGTATTAATGGATGAATGAGATATAGATAGATAGATATAATAGATAGATGGATAGATGAATAGATGCACACACCGTTTGCAGAGTTCCAGTCACATTCCAGTTCACTCTATTTTTAGTGTTGTCACTTACGTACACTGTGGAAGTGTTAGTCACCCTCTGAAGCTCCTTAGAGGAAGGAATGACCTACAGAGGCAAGCCGAATCACGACTCACATACCCCTGTTCAATAAAGAAAGAGTCTACTATTGAGCTGTATTTAATGATTTATTCAGTTAGAGTCGATACATCAAAATAGGAAAAACCTTTTAAATTCCATATGTTAAAGTTTTTCACAGTGACTGATCAGGCTGACTGTTAGATTACAGATTAAAATCCCTCTGTACAAAACAAAATGTGAAACAAATCAAGGTTCAGTCAGACAACTCACTTTTGCTTTTGTTTTGAAATATTTGTTGCAGCAGCAGAACATAGTTTGTGCTTGGCGTCTGTGTCCCCCGATCTCATCACTCCTCGCAATTTTAAATTACATGCAGAAATTTGAGGAGTGATATATGATAGCTTAAAGCCCTCCTAGTCAGAGCCTACAGGTGGATGCTTTGGGGGGGGGGGGGGCAGTGCAAGAGCTCGCAATGAAAGAGCAGAAGAAAGAATCTTACATCTTAAAAAGACCACCAACGGGAAGGAGGTGTTGTCATCCCCCATCACACCCAGTAGCAGTCATGAATTAAAGAATAATTGTAAAATCGCTGATGTTCATGCTTTTGGAGGTCATATAGAGACTTTCATTTCAGTCTGTCTCGTTTCCAGATTTTAAACTGCTTTAAAGAGAGAGACTAATAACGCATTATTGATGTATTACCAAAACAACTTAGACGTCAAGTGGTCCTTGAAGTGGTCAAGGAGCAGAATTTGAGTGAGCTGTGAAAAAAAACAGGTGATCTGAGGCAGGAAACCCAAGATGTACAGCTTGGAATGAATATTGGATATGTCTCTGTTAGCAGGTAATATGTCACGATGCAGAAACATATGCTGTGTTGAACCAGAGGCAGCACAGGGACATGAAGAGGTTTGAGGAGCTGTCTCCATGACGATGATCTTAAGTATATCTCTAAGCTGAAGAAAGGTTGTTATGTCTCAGGGGAGATGCAGTGGTCCTCTATGCTCAACACATATGAGGAGAGGTTTAGTCATTTAACTACAATGAAAATCTTTTGGTTTGTTTGGGTGTGCTTCACCATTAGGTTATGTTGATGTGTACAGCTGTTGTCATGTATTCCTCTTTAGTTATGTAGTGTATTTGTTAGTGGTTGTTCAGATCTCATTAACAGTAAGAAATCTTCTTTTGTCACCCACTTTCTTGTTGCTTTATTATACTTCCTGACTTTGTGTGCCCTGCCCTTATTGTTTACACCTGTGTCTTGTTAGTCTCACCTGTGTCTGATTACCCTGTGTGTATTTAGTCTGAGTGTCCATTTCTTTTTAACTTTTGTTCCCTGTGTGGATGTTCTTTTCCTGTTTAGTTAGGCTTTCTAATTTTTCTTTTGGAAAATGATTTCCCCAGAAAATTGGGAATCTAAAAAACTCAGATTTTGTTTAGGCTTCTTTGTTCATTACATTTATTATGACGCTGCGTCTGGGTTTTTAATTTTGTATTACTAACGTTGCTAAATTTACCACTAAAATTAAATCAAAATCACGAATTATTCATGACTTATCTTTGTATATTTAGGTGTACCATGTATTACATTGAGTGGAATTTACAAACTACAATGGTTTACGATGTATTTATGTTTAATGTTGGTGGTTGATTTTTCTTGGAAATATGTAACTGCTATTGGTTGGTGTTTAATGAAAATGCATTGCACGATCTGTTTTTACTAGACAGACACAACTTGGTTTATTAGCTATGAACTGCAGAATATAGTTGACTAAGGATAGGGAACCCATACACTTTCCTTTGTCAGATTCATGTGTTTGGCCCCCTCCACATGATCGTGAATTGTACAAGATTAGTAAGTACAACAACAATAGACACAATATCAGTCCTTAACAGCCTTTTCTTAACAGTCTTTTTTTTAACTATGATACATCTTTCAACTGACTGGTGCAGCTCAGAATCAATGTATTTGATACATGAGCTTTTAAATATCTTTCAATTCTTGTGTATTAGTATTTCTGGAGAGGTTCCAACATGTATGTTTTTAAATAGCCAAGAACTAAAACAGCTTGAAATAATTATGGAAAATTTTCAAACACACAAAGTAGTGTGAACACAGACATGCAATGTTTGACTTTTAAACACTTATTTGTGTTTTTTCTTTGGGCCAAATTCTTTTCACAATATAACAAAATTGGTTTGAATGAGCTCACAGTATTGCGTGTGTTCGTAAGAAACACTCTCAGGCCAAAGGAAGTAATGGACCTTTAAAAATCCTGTTCTGAAGATAAATTAAATACAATAAAGAATGAGAAATTGTGACATTAGAATGCCCTGGGTTTAATCATAGGTGAGTTCATCTCCAATATATAACTGGTTAACAATATAATCTGGAATGTCACATTGTAAAATGACATGTGCACGTGCTATCACATTGCAGCATACTAATAGACTTTTGTTTGGAAGAAAATGTTCCGTCATCTCTCTCTCTCTTTTCTCTCTCTCTCTCTCTCTGTCTCTCTCTCTCTCTCTCTCTCTCTCTCTCGCTTTCTCTTCCTGTATAAGCTAAGCATCTCAAAGCGGAGAGAGGCGGTTTCTATGGCGACGTGAAAAGGTCACCTTCAGGAAGTTCTCTGTGAGCGTGTACAGCATGCCAGTGGGATAATCAGGCTTCCCGTAATGACTGATAACAAACCACAGCTCATTAGAGAGAAAGAAAGGGAGCCGGTGGGGAGGGTGGGAGTGGGGTCTGGAGAGATTATTAATCATAGAGAAAAGAAACAAAAGAACATTTATACTAATGGCATGCCACGCTTATACTCTGTGTATATCTCTGTTAGAGGAAGGTGTTGGACTCACAACATTTTGGTCACAAATGCAAATCCCACCTGCAAACAATAAATATAAAATTATGAGCAAAAGGTTCGCTTAATGCATACATGTTGTGATCAAATCAATATGATACCTATAAGCATATGACTCTAACTTCTAACTAAGTTAATTTAGGTAGATGATTAAACTGTAAGCCAGCAGCAGACTTTGTTACAATAAAATAATAAATAAACACATTTATTAGACGTCTTTGTTTCTGGAAGCATGGATATTTAGGCAGAAATAAACTTGGTTGAGTGGACTTACACTCGGATGACACCTGGACCTGAAGTCACATGTATTAAAGACAATGTTACGACAACATGGCAGAACATTGTGACCTACATTACAAACAAAGCTGTGGCTGTAATAATAATACTCATATTTTAAGAAATCCAAACATGTAGACAATGTTTTTTTCAAAAGTCCATCAGAGTAGTGGGTCTTGTAATCAACTGGTTAAATATTCCATCTTCTCCCTCTCTAAATGTATTTCTATAAAAAAAATAAACGGCGGCATATTTTCTTAATTGTTCTTACAATAAATATAACTTTCATTCCAACATGCATCCATGACAGAAAATGTATTTCCATTCACTTTATAACATAGGACATGACTTTGATCAAAGCTTTTCCTTTATTTCTGTATATTTTGGAAATAGGTCTAGGCGTCTTAGTCATGCCCTTTTCTCTCAACTCAACATCACAACCTGGATGTTCCATTACATATAGACCAAGATGGTTGGATTTGTGATCAAGTCAAATCAACAAAGGAAAACTATCAAACCCTCTGCTTAAGATTTTGTCCATGACAAATACAGAGAGTCAGCCACAGACCTTTACAAACAGGACTCTTGTCCTGCATGACTTATTTTAATGAAGTGCAACAGGAGCCTTATGTCTTGGAGTTATTTCCTTTATGTTTTCCTACGTGTCCTTAAGCAACCACAAAACTGTAAAATCTTAGTGAAGTCTTAATGAAGACTTGATCAGTGCATATTCTGTAGTTTTCAGACAAAAAAAAATACAAAAATTCATGAAGAATGCCATAGAAAAAAATATTGGTTCTTTGTGTCATGAAGCTGGCAAAAGATTTAGTGGTTAGTGATTTTTTTATTGTGTCCAATATTCTCTGTGCAGTATCTTTTTATGATTACGTGTAGAACCAACAAACACATAATGACGTTTACAGTGATACTGCTGTAAATGAAATGAATTGATAAATCATTGAAGCAGCTCATTAATGAACCACTGTAAACACCAGCACTGGAAGCACAAAAAAAACGTTTCCCACTAACAAGGCTGCCATCTACTGGACATCAGTGGTTCTGCAACAACAAGGAATACATGTTGTGAATATGCTGAATTAATATGAAAATCCTAAAAAGCCAACACAAATACATCTAACATTACCATATGATTTACCCCAAATCCACAACAAATGTTTGCTCATATATTTGGGTTCATTAAGATTGTGGTGTTATTACATAAATAAACTTCAATATACACATGTGCAATGAGGATCTGACATGAAATACATTCAAACAACTTTTGTCCTAGACTATGAAATACCTCTTCAAATGTTGTGATTTATTTCTCTGTACATTTATTAACATAAGACATAATGTTACATAAGACTATTAGAAGCTATTGTTATGATTATGGTAACAATACC